TGTTTAAAAGATATTTGGCTAAGGGATGTGTAGGTGTTAATTTTGATCTAACGTAATCTGTGAATTCATGTTTAAATTTTTTTAAAGTGTTATAAATTTGTCTTTCAAAACGTTCTGTTTGATTTTTGTTTAATTTTGAATAACTTTTGTCATTTAAAAGTTCACTAATTTTTTGATCATAGATATTATAATCCATAATGACGGTCGCATTACCTTTATCAGCAGGCAAAATTTTGATTGATTGTTTTATCTTTTTTTAAGGACATTAMTGCTTTTTGCTCTATTGAGCTTATGTTTTGTTTAATTTTGAAATCTTTCCTAGAATTATTTTTGATCTTATACGAAATTCTTCCTGTTGTTCTTCAGGTAAATTTTGAGTTGCTTCTTCTATACTCGAAATAAAATCAAGTTTTGGAACGGTTTTTGGTGTAATTGRAARATTTAAACCTTTAGAAAGAACGAGTTTTTCGGTTTTGCAAAAAACTAATTTATTAATTATTAATTAATCAATTAATTTTGCAAATAAATGCAAATTTGTAATAATAACTTCGGCTTGGAAGCATGCGGGAGGAATGGGAATCCGAGCAACAGAAAACCGTAAAAGAACAGAACAATGTTAATTAACCAGCCGGCAATTAGGAGCTGATCGATCCTGTTTCCAGCAGAGTTTCGACAAAGGCCTATTGGCAGGAGGAAATTATTTTTGCCGGGGTGAAAAGCTTATCAAGCACAACACGCGACGCATTTTCGGGCAAAAAACTGCGCTTGACTTGAAAGTAATTTAATTAACTGCAATGCCATTGAGCTGCAATCGTGACTTTCCAAACTGAGCTTCGCGACTATTTTCTAAGGCCAAAATGATTGCGCAACTTTACTTATCAGTTGTTTCCTTCCATTGTCCAGCAATTAATTAATTTGCTTCGGTTTCCTCTTGCTTTCCACTATTGACTGCGCAAACGACTTTCGATTTTGCATCAGTTGCAAATCCAAAGTCCAAAGCTGTGATTCTTTGCTTTCCGTTTCGATTTGCTTCGGACAAAAAGGCCAATTTTCCCCGCAGTTTGATCTTCAGTTCTTACCCTACCTCAACTCGGTCAGAATTTTCGGCTCCAAAGCGCTTTAAGCTCCATTTAACAAACAGCGCCGGAATTTGGAACAATAATTCCGGGTATTCATGGACAGAACCTTGCATAATTGGCTCATAGTCGATGAGGAAGACAATGCCGCCGAAAACGATTAATGGATTCAGGATGGCCTCATTGTAGCTATTGCGATGATTAATTGCGCGACTTTATGGCAATAGAGTGCATTTTAATTGCGCTTATTGCATCTTTTATTGGGCAATTTGTAATGGAGGAGTTTTGTGATGGAAGTTCGTCAAATCCGGAGGAAACCTGTTATTGGCCAAATATTGAAATGTTCAATTTGGCCTCCTCAATCCGCTATTGAGGAGTCTAAAAGAGAGGAAAGAACATACCAGCAGAAATAAACAGCCAACACTTCACTCGAGGTTCACTCAAAATTTGGTGTTTTTTGGGGCAGGGGGTGAATGTTGAGAACCACCCCAAAGTGGGACTAGAGAACCTTCCATTATCGCTAAAAAAAACGTGCTTATACAAGACAATTATCGAATCGAGCCGATCATGCTAAATAATTAACGTTCGCTTTTTGCCATCACCGTGTTAATCAATGATGTGACAAGTTCAATGTCCGGAATTTGTTTCACCTTTTTAATATTCAGCATGTTCCAACATGTATACAGTTCCGAACATACAGTTTTAGAAAAAGGCCGCTCATAATGTGCATTCGAAGTGAAAAAGCGTCTTATTCCGGACACATTCCTGCAAAATGTCCATATCAGGCGACATCGCGATGAGACTGGAAAAATTGCAGTGAGTCGGCAGGAAAAGCTGTCCAGTTCGACAAATATTTTTAAATTAAGGGAGGGTCAGCCCTAATTAAACGGTCCGTCCGTTAGCGTTAAATTTTCCCCAGACGGGAGTCATCCGGGCTCGGTGCCATAAAATATGAAATCGCGAAAATTAGAGAATTTGTCATGTAATTTAATTATGTCCGGAATAATGGCGGGGTTTAGTCGCCATATGGTGCAGCTTTGAACTACCAGATCCCACTCTGATGACAGAGATTAATAAAGCTGCGGATAAAACCATAATTTTCCGAATGTGCGGCTGCGATTGACTATTGATCTCCAACTAGATTCGTCGAACACAATTACGTTCTTTTGTAATAAACCAAACGAGCCTGAATCGATGAGGGCAAAATAGAAGAAGCCAGCCATTTAGTGGAAGAAAACGGCAAATTTGCAGGTACAAAAGATGAATATTACCATCAACAAATGCCTGCGAACCTAATGAACAGATGCAGAAAATTCCCCATCACGTCAAAACTTCACAGGAATTCAAAACATTTGAACGTTGCTGTCGTTCCTTCGGGATCAGATGTGGCCGGGAAGAAGAAGGGTCTAATCAGATCTAATAATTTACCGGGTTTTCAGCATTTTGTGAATTCAGCCGACGCTTTATTACAGCTTCCCGTTTATTACTCATTTGTCGGACATTTGAGGGAAAATCACGGAGTTATTGAAGACGGCACGGGAATGGATTACTTGATGAGTTTCGCGGTAAATTGAGTTAGAAATGAACTTTTTTGGAGCTCTGGTACGTGACTAACACTTTGGGTATTTGAACGGAAATTTCAACAATCCAATGAGCACAAAGAACACGCTTGTGAAAGACTTATTTATTGACATTTTCATAAGGGTGATTTTCTCCGAAAATATAAAATATCTCAAAATGCCTGGAATTTTACGCCATTTTGATCATAAAAAAGCGAAGAAAGTGAATAAATCATCGACATTTTCTGGCCATTTTGAGTCGATCTGCGCGGTTTCGACTTTTAACCGACGATATCTCAATTAATACACACCCAAAAACGTTATATATAAACATTGAGAAGCTTCTCAGGTCGAAACCAATCCAATGAGCGCAAAAAACACGAATGTAAAATTTTGATTTTTGACCGAAATTTTCATAAGTGGGAGGGTCGATTTTTTCGAAAAATTAAAAATATCTCAAAATGCCTCCAATTTTACATCATTTTCATCAGAACGAAGAAAGGAATGCAACGAGCTCAGTAAAAAACACCTTAGAATCTTCAGATTTTAATCAGCATTTATAAGAGGAATCGTTTAAGGTTCCTGAATGGGATTGTTTTGCTTCAAACTTCCACACACTGGGAAAAATCAAAAAATTTTGCCGCACTTTCAAATACCGGTA